CAGGTTCAGCTTCCACCTGTGGTGGCTGATCCTCATCATGTGACGGAACACCGTCTTCATCTGTCGCCGGCTCAGGGGTTGGGGGTACATCTCCTTTAAACACCCATTTATCTTCCTGTTTGAGCATCCCCATGTGATGAAAGGAAGATTTCTCAATCTTGTTCGAAGCATGGAGAACTATTTTCCTTTCCCCTGTCAAGTCCACCCCTGCATTCTAAAATTTTTTCAATAGTAACAGAGCATACGGAATCGGTCCATCCTCTTTTCGTCTTGCTTTCCACGTACAATCATTAACGACTGATACCCAATCAATCTTGATTTTCTTTTTAATCACATGCATAAGTAAAATGTCATCTCTTGACATTTGGGCATGGTTATGTAACCGAGGTTTCAACATCCAAGCAATGATAAAAGAAATTAATTGGGAATTCTTTTTCATACCTCCCGTCAGAAACTTGTCATAGTTGGTATTCACCGGATTCCTCTGACAATCCCGGAAGGTCGTCAGCTCCTCAAAATTCCCAAAATTGAAGGGTTGGGGTTTTTGACGTCCCGAGCCGCTCAGTCCCGCAGTTGCCTTCAATGTTGGCCTGTCCAACTTAATCATTTTCCCTTTTACCACAGATTGCATAATGCCTCTGTTACTTGTGGAAAAACAGAGAAACAACCTGATCAGTTCAGGGTAGTAGGGTCCCTCCATTTCCAAAAACTTTCCCAGTTCTTGGTGCTCCAGCAGGGTTGGGAAACTAAAGCCTTCATTCTTGAACCACTCTAGCTTGAGGGTCTTGGGAGGAATGATTCTCCGCCCCACATACCACTCGAAATAGTACTCTTGGGTCTTCTCATCTGGGAACCATTTTGAAATCAGTTGCCCAGAGGGTAGAGGGCGCTTGCTCCCCCTCACTTCAAGCTTCTTGGGTCTCTTGGATGAAGAAGCCATGAATGCATTAACCAGAATGATGTCGGTTCTCGGCCTCATGCCGAGCCGACGTTGATGGTGATGCTTGTACGTGGCTATGCATGGGTGTCTGACGAAATGGCACGTGTTGGCCCACGTGACCGACACGGTCTCTCCGGTACAAGAGGTATTTGTATATTATAGCAGGTTCATTTCATTTCTCCCTCTTAGTTTATGCTCTCCCCCTTACTAGATTATCTCTCAGTCGTGTTTGATAAATTGATCAATTCTTTTCTATTTCTCCCCCTTTGTAATCATAAAAAAGAAATAGATACCAGAGTAGATATCAAGATTATTTATTATAGCCAGACCATAATGTTTTGATCGGAGCATGAATATCAAAACCTTTTATCAGAGCATTTTGTTTATCAAGATGATAACTTTGCATGAACCATATATACTTAGTTAAACTAGATTGAGTTTGAACAACAGACGTATATGGTAAAGAGAAAAAAATGTGTACAAAACAAACTTATTATTATATTTTTTTCATTTGTAGTCATGAGCATATCAATTTATGCATCAGACGAAAATTTTAAGAATAAATGTATTGATCTGAGTCTGAAATATGTGCAACAAGAACAGTCTATATAATCAAAAGAAGACTTCTTTTCTATTATGGTTATTCAGACAAAATGGTTAAGTTTCTGAAAACAGTCTGATAGTAGAAGAGTTATCATATCCAGCAAGAAAGAAAAATAGCATTGAGCAGATTATTCCCCATATCAGCCAATAATTCTAGATAAGAAAATGTAAACATTTTATTGACTTGAATTACAAATATGTACATCATGAAAAATTTACAGAGAACTTCTGCTTGATTTCTAGATTTCTAAGGCAAAAGGTCATTTTTATGGAAGGAGCGCATTCGAGAGTTTTTCCTGCAGATGAACTTGCTTCTCCCTTTTTCTTTGCCAAAGCCCATTCCTCATTCTTCTTGTGCTTCTTCAACACTGACTCTGGAACAATTGTTTTCACTTGTCTGACCATTCCGGGTTGTGTCTTTCTCTACTGTTTTAAAAATTTGATAATTATTTATTTATTATATTTTAAAAAAAATCACGCCAACAATATTAGATAAAATGAAATTCAGATATTTATAATGTTAACAATTTTTTTTCATTACTTGAATATTATATATATATATATATATATGACATTAAATTAGGATAAATTTAAATTTTTATATTGGTAAAAAACATTTTTATTTTTTTAAAAATTAATTTTAAATCACATGAAGCTGTAATGATAGAAAACTTTTTTACTCTCAATAATTGTATGCGAAAGTCACACTCAAATAAGGAAGAGATAGTATATATAATGAATTAATTGAGAAAGTAGAAAAAATGAGAATCTTACTCTCCAAACTAGAACTTAATTTATAGAGAATACTTCAAACCTCATTGCTCACAAAAGCAACTTTTACGTAATTACTTATAAAGAGTTCAGTATTTTTCACTGCTGTGACAATGGATAACCTTAGAATACAGTTGTTTTGGTAACGGTGGTGAAAAGATTTTCGTTTTCCAAATTAGTATCGTATTCGTATTTGCCGAGTGAACAAATTTAGTATACTACAAAGCTATCCAAAGTTTTTCTGTCATTATCAGAAAGACTTCACCATAGGTAAAGATTCCAATAGATACCCTATAAACTAGCTTTTCATCACTGCTAATTGGACTTTACTTATGCTTTAATGAATATAATACACAAGGAGTGAGTACAAAGGAATTTCCCTCCTTTAAGCACCAAAACCTTGTAGTTTACTAAAATAACTCCTATTCAAAATAGAGACATGGCCTAAAATTGACAGCATAACTATTTGAATTTGACCATTGAAATTGATACCCAGATGCATGTCATTACTCAACCAGTTGCTATCAGTGAATGGTATTTGGTAATCCACATTTGGAATTTCCCATTATTCACCCTTCAAGTTTCAAAAAAAAAAAAAGTTGGAATTTGGACATGGTGCGAACTCAGTGAATTGGAATGTGTTTCCATTGTTTCAAGCAAACACTTCTTACATTATACTTCAAAGCCAGAAGTGAACTCCAAGACTATCATTACTTGCATTTTTTGCAACCCTAAGACACATTAACAGAGACAAAACTAGATCAAGAACTTAATTGTGTGTACACATACTATATATAAATTGAAGAGGGAAATTTATTCAACCAACCTAACAAGGTGCAAGAAATAGTAACCAAGTGGAGATTCAAGATGAAACCCTTCGTTCCCGTTTTCTTTATGTTGTTTTTCTTTGTGGCCTTTACCAACATACAAGTTTGCTTGGGAGACTGTGATAATCTACAGGACACTTGTCCAGCAGTTCCACCCAATAAGCAGACCATATTCATCAATGGTCTACAATGCAAAAACCCAGTTAATGTAACAGCTCAAGATTTCAGGACCACAGAACTAAGCAAAGCTGGCTCTACAGACATTTTTGGTGCATCTGTGAAAATTGTCAGTGCTGCTGAGTTTAGTGGCCTGAATACTCTTGGCCTCTCCATTGGAAGAACTGACCTAGATGGGAATGGCCTGGTAAACTTCCACTATCATCCTAGAGCTACTGAGATGATCTTTGTTACCAAAGGGGGGTTGTTAGCTGGGTTTGTTGACACCAAAAACCAGTATTTCCAGAAGTTTCTCAAAGTAGGTGATGTTTTTGTGTTCCCCAAGGCTTTGTTCCATTTCTTTCTAAATATTGGTTTTGAAGAAGCTACTGTTTTCTCAGTGTACAACAGCCAAAATCCTGGCTTTGTATCCCTTAGTTCTACAACTTTTGACACAACATTGGAATCATTAGACAAGATCAAGAAGAGACTCATCTCACTTTCTGCCTCTGAAGCTCAACATGTCACCGGTTTTATCTCCCCAGAAGTCGAAAGCATTTACAGTTAGCCATTTCAAACAATTGTTCTGTTGACTGCCTAAATATTAGTTCAATTACGTGTAACCCCTGCATTGAATAAATGATTATAGTTTAAATTTTTTTTGGTTATTGATTGTACTCCATGTTACATTATATATTACTACTTGTTTCATATCTATTACTGCTTTAACCTCTTTTTTCAAAACTATTGATGTTTTATAAATCCAAAGTCTTATTCATTCTATTTGTTCAGATATACCCCTATTCAATAATTGCTAAATTACTGATTTATCACACGTAATAAGAAATTAAATAAGGGCAGCTTAGTCTAAATATAACAATATTTTTTTATCTATTAGATGTTCCTTAGTCTGTGTTAACCCTAAACATTAATAGATACAAAACGGTAGTATATAACATTAAGCTAAAAAAAATGATTGTGGAATGATAATCTCATACTCGGTGTTTAGCAATACTTTTACTATTAGCAAATAATATAATGGAAGCTAGTTGATTTTGCAAGATTGCACTGGAGTTTATTAACGAACATGAGGAAATTTCTCACATCGATATACAGTTGAGAATCTTCAATCCAAATCATATCAGGAAGTAGAATGGAAGAACAACCCAACCGCAACATAATAAGAGATTCCCCTTTTTTCAAGTTCAAGTGTGAGAACTTCACTCTGAGTTTGACTCCTCTTTTATTTTACATGCATAATGGGGTTTAGCCTCATTTATACCCATTGACCCTTTTTGTTATCATCTATTAACTAACCAAGAATTAGATTATTACAACAGTTACAACAAGAACTTTTTAACAACCTGCCATGTCGTACTGGTAAATACAAACACTGTCATATTGGATTAGATAGATAGTTACTGCAGAACATATGTCCTCAATAATATCTTGTTAAAACAAATAATTTTCGGTCTAGCTTACCAACTTTTCAGTGGTAAATCAATATTGCTATATAAGTTAATATTAATATATATATATATATATATATATATATATATATTGCTATATAATAGATTAATTAATGTTTAATACTATAAATATTATAATTATATATATTTTTTCTTAATTTGTATAATATAATATATAAATATGTTATGTTATATATTATATTAATTTATATAGATAATATAATATAACATTATAGAAAGAGGGAAGGGGGGAAAACTTATCCTATTTTGTTACTTCATAACTCGGCTCCTCACATAGGATAAAAATACACGATATCAACAACATAGGTTGGATATGACTCATGACGCAATAAGAAACTGTTTATAATAGTACAGGATATTATCAACTAATCATATCTTATCAGGTCATATTCAGCCACCAAGCGGACCCTTAATATTATTATCAAAACATGCAAATAGGTAAGCACATGCAATATAGATATAAAAAAAAAAAAAAAACAAATTTTGACCATTACCTATAAAATGGTGAATGTTAGAATTTTTGAAGAGTTATGAAAGTTAGAAGACTGATGAATATTGAAACTAAAGATGAAATTTGAGAGAATCACTCATTCATGAACACGGAGAACAGTGAGAAATTGAACCTAGAGGTGACCAACTAAAAAGAATAATAGAAGAGCTAAGATTTCAAGGTAATAATCAATGATTTAGACTTTATCTATCATAATTTATAAATATATAGATGTTAAAGACACGCTGTGCTCATGTTGGAAACTGTTTAGTTTTTATGGGTGAATACAACCTCAATCCTGTTGCAATCTGATCTTAATTCAAGAGCCTTTATTTAGGTTAGGCCCCTGCACCAATTCCACCGTCAAAAGATATCTTTCAATGCATATAATGGATTAAATGTATGTGGTTTAGATTTGATGACTAGGATGAGAAAAGAAGAACATCAGAAAAATTCAAACACGTGCTTTATACATCCAGGCTATTCACATTTCACAGCATGAATTGAATGTATCGATTCGATGGAGATGAGTAAAATACAGTCAAATTGTTTCTTTCGACAAGTAGAACAAGGTATTAAGTTGTTGATCGTATTGGATTCCACAACTTTTCTATTTATAACAAAAGATTATGAAATAAGTTCAAATTTCTCACTAATTAAAGTATGCATCTTCCAACTTATATCAAGTAATATGCCAACAAATAGTATATGTACATCACATGTAAATCAACAAACAAGAATATCAAAGCCAAAATCTAAAAGAAAAGACATGATCCATGGAACGATCTATCTTCTGCAATGAATTGAGTACTTCTTTTTTAAAGGACTTAAAATTCTAAAGATGCTACAATGTAAAAATTAAAAAGAAATAATAATAATAATAATTAAATGATTACACTAGCATGACTATGACAGTGAGGGGAAATCAATGAAATTTGAATAGTTAGGGAATGGCTTTCACTTTCTAAGAAAAATTGACAACTACCCCATCCTAGGTGATCACCAAAAAGCATTGTCAGGTATATAAGCTGAATAAAACATACGCACCGCAGTTGCTTTGTTTCCTCCATTTTATCTCCAACTACCAACCATGCTCTTACAACTACAGCAGCAACTGTTCTCTGATAGGGGTAAGACATATGCCGACCTTTTATAGATGTTGCAACTTCAAAAGTTGCAGAATATTTTGAAATGGATTCCAGTTTGCATTGATCAGACATATTCCAGATCAACATAATGACTACTGGTACTAACCAAATTGGTCATCTTAATCGTGACAATCTTTTCCGTTTCCGATTCTTCTTATGCACAACAACACGTTTTGTGTTACTGCTACCATGAGGAACAGCCAGACTTGACGATGGTTTGCCAATGTAGGTTCTTCCTTTCTTAGAAACCCATTTCAGAGGCATATTGTTAACTACAGTGCCAATATCAGTAGAATTATTCAGTTCAACTAGTTTTTGGATTTGATCTAGCATCTGATGAGTCCAAGCCAATGACAGATCCAAAGCAAATGAATCATCCACTGGTTTTCTCTGTAGATCCATCAAAACCTCTTCAAAAGACCGGAAAGACATGGATGGTTGATAACCTTTAAGATTTTCACAAATCATGTTTACTTTGATGACATGCTTGCAAAGGTTACCTTGCATTGACCAAGAGCAATCACAGAATGCAAATTCAGATCCTGGATTCCACACTAGATGTATTAAGCTACTATCTTTCTGGCTCACAACCTTGGCAAAGAGGTTATCTTTATCATCCAAGGTAACAGCATAATCAGGAATTTGAAGTGCTCGATGCCATGATGTAGTAGCAATATATTTCTCCTTCACATTCTGGAAAGAATCACTTTCATCAGCATAGCGGTCAAGCCAGTAGCTTGAATGCAACTCAGTTGTTAACTTGTGGACTAACCAATCTACTCTTTGCAGTGCTCCAAGATGTGAATCATCAAAAAGTTTGGCTTTCAGTTTAACATGATAGGCTTCTAATGCTCCAGAAGCTTCCTGGCTTGCTAGAGGAAAATTTCTCATTGTTGAAAGCCACATTTCTGCAGAGAAAAATAGAATGGTAAGGAGAAATCAAGTTAATATATCAATAATGACTAAGCCCATAACTTCAAAAGTAAAATGTTAAGAAACACTTCAATCGTGATGTTTGGCTTTCAAGCATGCATGTGAATATGCCTTCAGTCAAACCAGGTATTTTATGTGCATGCAATAGAGAAAGGGAGAAATATCTAACCAAGCTTGGGCAACCAGGAGACTTTGAAATATTCCATGAAAGCAGTTTGATCAACAAAATCCAGCATGAATTGTTCCAAGGAAACCGATGTATTAATACCTCCCCAAATGCTGTACACTATTGTCCCAAGACGCTTAAATATCTCTCGCTGAACCTCAATATTACTGCATTTCTTAACAATATTCCTAAGCCATGACCTACGAACACGCCATAGTGAAAATAGGACAGGACAGCAAAATATATCTCTGTAAAAAGAAATTAATAGAAGTAAGAAACTTAATCACCACTACAGAATTTTAAACTAAACTCGTCTCAAAAGCAATAAATCTTGCCTCAAAAGATCAATTTCAACAGCAGCATCATCTATCAAAAATCCACTGACTTTCCATCCTGGCTCAACAATACGAGCTCGACTAATTAAAGCTTTCAACCATTTAGACACATCAGGCTTTGCAAAGCTACGTGTAATGACCCATGCAACAGGAAGTGCATGTTGTCTTGAATCAAAAACAAGTAGTGTGAACAAGGGATACTGCAAATATGAAAATATAACCAAGTTAGGTTGATTGAAAATATGTTGCAATGAGAACAAGATAACTACAATTCTTTTAGATCTATCTAGCATAACAAACTGACTGATGATTGAAAAGAATTACTTTAAGTCTCTTCACACCGAACGTAGAGTCTGCTGCAACAACACTACGATGACCAAAACGAATCATTTGTTGCAGCTGCCATTCTGTTTGGATCCCCAAGATGAAAGGGTCGGACTCTGAAGTATCCTGGTGAAAAAATACAGACTTTCTATTGCGTTCAATCCACATGCGGATGCTAGCTTGATCATCTAGATCCAGCTCATGAGTAGACCTTTTGATAATCATCCCTAACTTGTGGACATACTGATAAGCAAGGCTACTGACTTTTGCATCTGAACCACAATATCGCTGAATTCCTTCTATGTGTTTCTCCAAGATATTCTCTTCTGGAATGCCCAAATATATCATGGACATAGTTTGCTGCTGAATTTCATTGCATATATAGGGAATCTTTTTGGCACCTGGGCCAATGGCATCTCTATCAAGTGGTCCATGGCAGATAAAACCAGACTTGTTAATATGGCGCCTCTCATTGTATATAATAAGTGCAAGTGATGGCCGAGTGTAAAGACGTTTGACAACAAAATGACAAGTACAACCCCGCATTGATTGAGGTCTAGCAGCACGATTTCGAGTATTAAGTCGATACCTTCGACTAGGTAATATACCTCCTCCCTCCCCATAATTTTCTGGTCCAAACGAGCACCAGTACCTTCACAAAGAAAAAAGTTCAACTTGACAACACCACTTTTAAGTTTTAAATTATACATTTGCAAGGCTTCTGTTGATTACAAACAGACAGCGAAAATGAAATGGTTTGAACTTGTAAACAAGTTTAAGAATAAGGAACTTGATTAACAAGGACCGAACTCCTACAAGGGAAGCATGATTTCACACTTCCAAGTTCCAATGTTCTATAAAAAAAATAAACCAAAAAAAAAAAATATGCTAGAAAACTTTAGACATATATCACACAGGGCAAACAATCTTCCAACTACAATAACCAAAAAAGGAATGAATTGTCAAAATAATAAAACAAAAGCTTGATCATAATCCTTTTGAATAACATAACAAGCATGGCAAAAACTTACAGCCTGTACTCCAGATACTCATCATCCTTGTACTCCTTCAAGCTTCCAATAGTTCGTTTCCTTCCTCTCTCGATATGAAACCGGGTTGGGCACTCCACGTTGGAGCACTCACCAATTATAAAAGCATCAACTCTGTCATAGGGAATGAGGGCAACTTCATCATGGTGCTCAGCATTGCCAAACTTGGTCCAAGTCAAGTCAGCAGCACAAAACTCCTCCTCGGGTGGGTCTTGCAAAGGAATCTTCTCCACTGACTCAACAATAGCCATATCCACAATGGTACAAAAACCAAAAACACAAAAACCTTCCTTGCTATATATACAGAACAATCTAGGAGTCTCTCCAGAAACAATAACAGGTCCAAGACAGTAAAATTGTTGAAGCACGGAACAGAACAACCCTGAAACAACACCCAGAAAAGACCCTTTTGAGTTAAACAGTTAAAGACATGATTTTGATAAGTCTACCGAGTTTTGAGCAAATAACAGCTAAGCAATTCAATCACAAAAAGGAGCGAATCAAAAACAAAACTAAACACAAGTTGTGTAGTGATAATTGAAGCGCGTACCCTTTTGGATGAATAATCAGAAAAGGACGATTGTGAGTGTTGCAGCGGAAGAGAATAGTGGCGCGAGTTGGGAGGAATTTGGAGAAGCAAAGGGTGGTTCGAGATGAAATGATGAATGACTACGAGAGGATACGATAAAACGACACCGTAGCCGCTACTTCTATTTTCCCCTATACCTATTTAGTTCTCTCCTCTTGCCTCCGAGTCCGAGGGGTAGCATAGAATCAAGACAAGTTACTCCTTGGGAGTTTATGGCCTCATTTGTATTAGATTATTATTTTATTTTGTGTATCATGCAAACCAAATATTTATTATATATACTAAAATTTATAATAAATTTTATATTTGGATATATAAGTTATATTTAAATATTTTGAGGGATAACTTACAAAATTAATTTTATTTATTGATAATATTTTAAAATATTAAAATTGTATTAGATAAAAAAAATTAAAAATGATCTTATAGAAGAAAATTTTCTCAAAATATTCTCATACAAAAAAAATTATTTGTTTTTAATATATAAAAATTGATAGATAAGATAAATATATTTTTGAAACTTTATTTAATTAACAAAATAATTATTTTAAATGTAATTTATCCATTTATTTTGTTAAATATAATAATAATAATAATAATCTGTAAGATTAAATTTGATTAAATTACTCTGATCACTTATTTTATTCATCCACATTTTATTTAACTAATAACTTACTCATGCAATGCACATTTTTCTTTAAACGTCCGCTCTACATACCATAAATATTTAATATAATAACCAATTCTTTAAAATCTATTTATATATATATATATATTATTCATAAATATGTATATATACAAAATCTATTTCTATATAATTTTAAGTAGAAAGAATATTAATTGTAAAAATTACTTTTTTTACGTATTGTATAATTCATTGTTAGTTATTTTATCTGTTCGAATTTTGAAAATGTTTTACATAAAATATTAATATATAAATAAGTTAATTAATATTTATTAATTAATTAACATATTTGAAATATATGAAACATAACATTAATGATGTAAAAAAATTATTTCAATATTAAAGTATATAAATCAAACCAACACTAAAGAGAGATATCTTTTAAACAAAGAAAAATATAAATAAAATTGAAAAAAAAAATATTTTATTTTGAAGAAAAATTTTGCATATAGAAAACCTGAAATCACAAGTTTAAGTAACACATAAAGAGTATGATTTAAAATAATAATAAAAGAATAAAACATAAACTTTGACATCTCTAGTAATATAAATGATGTTAAGTTTCATAATATAGAAATAACATGTAATAGAAACTACTTAACAATGTAGAAGAAGGTATTTTTCTACTTTAAAAACCCCAACAAACAAAAGGTGGACATCTTGGAGGTACTACAACTCCAACAGTTGTGTTACACATAAATCATTTTGTTAAACAAATTTAATACATCAAACACCAATATAAAAACAATATATATTACATTTTTAACACTGCATACTTTATTACTTTATTATTTGAATATATGTTATGAGATGTTTTAAAAAGTTGTTGTGTTCTAATTATAGTTGTTTTATAACTCTTAGGGTCAAGGAATCTTTGAGTTAAGTCGTTTTGGGATTGTTTTAAGTTGAGGTTGGGTTGATCAAGTTTAGGGGAGGGTATTTAAGGTTTTCTTAAGATTTGAACTTGATAAGTACATATTTAAGAAAATTTAAAGAGAAGTTAGAAAGATAGGCTCTAGAGCTAAAAAAAAAGGCATTTTCCTTCTTCTAACACTGTAGAAGAGTCCAAATCCTTCCCTATAGTTGAGTGGTTGTGTTCGATCATAGATTCAGGGAGTTGAGAATCTAAGGTTGACATTAACGTATGGCAAACTCATGGGGAGCCTTCGTTCTTTGTTGTTTTTTCTTCCCTTTTTCTTGTTTTTAAGTGATTCGAGTGATGAGAGCTTGTAAATTGATTATTGTTTAGTTGTATTTATTGATTGTTGCTTGAATTCATCCATTTGTCAGAGTATTAATTGAATCAAGGAGTGGAAAACCTTTATCTTAGTTTTTTGTTTACCTTTAATATTTTTTAAGGGAAATTGATGATCCTTGAGTTTTTATGGTTGCATATAGTGATTTTTTTTATCTCTAAGTTATGTTGAATGTCTATATGTTGATTTTGAGAGTTTCATGTTGAATTGAAGGAATACTTTGGTGTTTTGAACCAAAATTGTGGTTCTACCATGTGTAGGCAATCGCTTTCATGCCAAATACAACTTCATGGTATCGGGCATAAATGAGCCAAAAGTTATTGTTGGAAAGAAAAATACACACTAGAAGGGGGTTGAATAGTATATATCAAAAAATTGCATTTTTTTTACAATGAGGCGATAAACAACAAAAAAAAAGTAAACAAATGAAGTACTAGAAGGTAATCAAACGAAGTGGTAAAATCAATGAAATGGCACAAGTATTTTTATACTGGTTCGTCTCCAACCTAGAGACTATGTTCAGTTCTCAATCCAATCAAATTGAGTTCCACTATTTTTAACAAGATACAAGTATTCTTTACCAAGCCACTTCTAGCTAAAACCAAGTATTCTTTGAACAAGCCTCTCCAAGCTTAAACCCAAGTATTCTTTCAAACAAGTCTTTTTAGGCTTAACCACTAAATATTCTTTTAAACAAGGCTTCTCTTGCAAATACAATTAATAAGAGTAACAAAAGATGGCTTCGTTTCTTCTAGATAATAATGGCATGGGCCTAGCCAGATGATGGAAGACCACGCTTGGAGCTTCATGTGGGACCCATTACTAGGTTCATGGATAAGAGAATGGTGGAGACACCATTTCTAAAGCTATGCTCATCATGTGTGTAGAGTATTGACCCTTTCTTAGGCCTATTTCGAGTACTATAGGGTTTATTACTTTTATTCCCATTTTGCCCTTGTATTTTTGGGTACCCTAGATGATAGGATTTTATTTTGTATTTTCATTTAGCCTTTGTATTATGGGGAAAATTAGCTTAGGATTTATTTTTTGGGCTTAAACCTTGACTTGTGAGGTCAAAGTCCACTTTTTTCTATTTTTAGGTCAAAGGGTATTTTAGTCTTTTAGAAGGAAGGGAACCCACACTTCATTTAGGGTGCATTTGGGCTTGCATTATACGACCATGCAATCCTAGATGCTTTACTTCCCTTATATATACCCTTGGCCTCCAACCATGTACATATTTTGGAATATACGATATTGAGTGAGTATTTTTGCCTCAACATCCATCCTTAGTCATTTAGGGTTCTTCAACCTCAACCTCTCCTCTCTACCTAGAGTGAGTGTTAGGTTTACCTTGAGTGGCTTTCATCCATCCTTGGTGAAGTGAGACAACCTAGAAGCACCCAAACACCTTCCACCATTTAATCTTCCTATTTGCACATCATCATCATCTTCATGCCCCACCTTGTTCTTCTTTCACCCTTGGAGAAACATCCAACCCCTTGCCTTCCTTTTTGACTGTGGAGAAGAGGAACCTTTCCTCCTTGGAATCCATTGATCATACCATGGATAGAAGGAGCCCATCATTTGGTATCATGAGCCAAGATTGTCTTCAAGGGTAACTAGTTTTTTCTTCTTTCCTTGAGTCTCTAAATTTCCGGTCATGTCATGAGTCTTCTTTCATGTCTTAATATCTTCCATGAATACCTTGCTCTAAGTGTCTTCTCTAATTGATTTTCGGTTCATTGCTTGTTCATTAGGCTTCTTGGTGCCTCTAGGGTTTTCTTGAGTTTTTAGGTTCTTATGTGCCTTTTTGTTTTTATTCCTTTGAGTGTTGGAAAATATTTCAAGAACATGAAGAACACCTCTTGCATTTTATTTTGATCTTTATTTTCCAAGTTTTGTCAAAAAGTTGTGTTTCTCTCACCTAATTTTCAAAAACAAATATATATGCATGATATACACTCATTTGATGCATGAAGAATGAAGAATACATGATGCATGTGCTATTTCCATGAGCTGGCAGAAAGTTCCTGCATCTATTTATAGGTCATTCATGCATGTTAATTAGTCCTTAGCATGCTCCAAAAATTTGTTGAATTCTATGTGTGATTTGCTTCTTACACATACATGATTAACCACCTTTTCATTATCATCATTGCATGATTATTCCTTTGTCCTTTGTGCACATGTGTGAGTGATACAATCTTGTGTGTGATTGCTAGAATCTTTGAAAAAAACGCTACACTAAAAGAATATAGTATAAGACACACTCCACTCACAATTTGCCTTATATCACCCACTTATGTACGTGTTGCTACTTGTCTCTTCCTTTTTGACTACTCTTTTGTGCTGGATTTTTAATCATCCACAAGTGTAAAAATCAAGCAACATTGTAAAAGAAAAATGAAAAAAAAAAATCTAGACAGAAAATGAAAAAAAAAACATGACCTAAAAAAACTGAGGAAAAGAAAAGAAAAACAAAAGGAAATTGTTGCTCGACTTTTGGACATTTGACCAAACTACCTTTGCACATTGGAGTTGGACTTGAACTAAGTTTGACCATATTTGAGACCCAAAACTGTGGCTACACCTTAAAGAAAGGATTGAAATTTTATAAGTGCAAACACCATTCAACTTTAAATTCTATTCTAGTACCTTTCTAGGAATTTCTTTTGAGTGCTTTCCTTTCTTAATGTGCCTTAATTTTTTCTTGTCTTTCTTGGAATTCTTTGTGTTTGTCTCAACAATCTCCCTTTGAGTTTAGCCTTTCTAACACGACACAAAGCAGAGGTTAATGTATTTTAGATTCAAAAATAAAAAGGCACAAAAGAGATTTAATGACAAGAAAAGCAACTACACATGACTTAATGGAGGACCATCCTTGAGACATCATATAGGGCCTATCACAAGTTCCATTGCTAGGAGAGTAGAGGAAGACGAAGAACACACAACACCAAAAGCCAGGATCATCATGTGTGTGGATTTTGGACCCTCTCTTTAGCTTGTTGCTTTCCTTTCCTATTTTGCCCTTGTATTTTGGGGTACATTAGCTATTAGGATTTGATTGTGTATTTTTATTTAACCTTTGTATTATGGGGTAAAATTAGTCTTAGGATTTATTTAGGGACTTAACCTTGACTAGTAAGGTCAAAAGTCCATTTCTTTCATTTTCTAGGACTAAGGGTACTTTAGTCTTTTTGGAGAGATGAGAGCCATTTCATTTGGGCTGCATCTAGGGTTCATTT